GAATGAGCCTAATGACAACCTCCACCTGCAGCATGAGCCAATACTCTCACACGCCTGACCTCCCCAACCCCTCTCCATAGGCCTCCACAGGGCTGTAGGTTAGCAATATCCATCTCTGGAGAAACTGGGCCCAGAGAGGCCAAGAGAGGGGTTCACCCAGTGAACGAGGCAAGTGGCAGGGAAGCTTCTGGAAGAGTTAGGCTGAGGGCCCCAAGTGCCGCAGCAAAACTCATGATCCATGGCCCACGGAGAAGCCCCTCCCAGACCCTTCTTTCTGACGCTCCCAGTCCCCATCTCTGGTCTCCTGTCATTTCCATGTTCATGGCAAGAACTAGTTTCTCTAAACTCCAGGACAGACCCAACTACCAACAAGAAATGTCACCTGAACGAATGGACGGTTTGGACTTTGAAGTAACAAGCCAAAGACTCTAATATGAGATGGCGGTTGAGGGCGAGGAGCACTGTAGGTGCTCACATGGAAAGACCTGATGGTTTCAGACCACATCTGTGGTCTCAAAAGGCAGAAGGGCCACTAAAAGGAGCGCTAACGTGGGTCGCATTCACAGAAGTATAATGTCTAGAACAAGGAAGGTGTTGAGTCAAGGGGAAGGGGAGGGTCAAGCCTGGGTAATGCGCTCAGTTCTGGGCTGAACTAGATCACAGAGGGGGTGAACAGAGGGGTGGATACGTCTCTGGTTATGCCAGAAAGAACCACGTCCTGGTGGAAACACCTGCCATTTACTGAGCACTTATTATGGGGCAGCCACCATGGTTCATGCTGGGCAGACAATTCTCTTATTTGATCCTCACGGTTTCGGGAGGGAGGGACTGTTATTGTTTCTATGTCACAGGTGAGGAAACTGAAGCACAAAGGGGTCCAGCTGTGAGTAAGTGGTGACACCGAGTGCTGAAGTTCAGCACCATTGGCAGAGACTAGATAGCCATGTGTGGATCCGTGAGGAGAATTAGGCCCCAGTGAGAGGCATTTAGGGACATCATAAGACCGACTTCGTGGAGGCCTTTAGAGATAGCCATCTCCCCCTCCGGGAAAGCATGTGAGCAAAAACCTGATCGGCATCTCCAAGAGTCCTGTCTAAAGGATCCCTAAGAGTCTAATGGCTCTTAGCTGAGCTACGAGATTCTATCCTGGACTCTGATTCTGCAAGTACAGAGCCCTTGGGGCCCCACACAGGCCCTCCGCCCCTGCTATAGCTCTCTCTTCGCTTCAGTCTCCTTTCTGGAGTCCCAGGGATCCCTCATTATAAACCCCCTCCCCCGGTGAGGATGACTCCCTTTTAAGGTGTTGGCCACAGAGCACCCCAGAGCTCAGAGGAGCCCTGGCCTAATTAAAGCAAGCCATCTGCGAAGCTGAGATGTGTGTCAGGAGAGGGCAGAGGGTTCCCAAACACCCATCTCCAGAGCGGGAGTCATCCCAAGGCATTGAAGGAGTAAAGGGGGCAGACCATGGCCATCAATAGACAAATGGATACAGAAAATGTGGTGTATACACATACACAGACACACACACACACACACACACACACACACACACACACACCCCGGAATATTACACAGCCATGAAAAGGATCCCATCATGCCATTTGTGACAACGTGGATGGACCTAAAGGGATATAATGCCAAGTGAAATAAGTCAGACTAAGAAAGACAAATACCGTATGATTTCACTCGTTAAGTGGAACCTAAGAAAAGATGAAGAAGCAAAAAGTAGAATCAGAGTTACGAATACAGAGAACAAATCTATGGTTGCCAGAGGGGAGGGGTGGGGGGTTGGGCAGGTGGGAGAGTGGAAAGACACACGTCTGGCATGCAGCCCCAGCTCAAGCCACTAATTACCTTCATGGCCTGAAGCAAGTCCCTTTGCCTCTTGGCCTGTTTCCTCCTCTGCACAGTGGTGATAACGAGCCTGTCCGGCGAGCCTGAAGAGATAAATGGTCTATAGGGGCCTATGGAAAGCCGACTGTGTTTATACCATTAGACAGCGCTGTTATTACCCAGGGGTGGGCTTGGGGAGGGCCCCTCCTGGTCTGACCTGAAATGTCACTCCTGGACAGGATGCTGGCTCCAGTCCTTTCCTCAGGGCAGCCCAGGGGGTGGGTAGGGCCTGTTTCTAAAGAAGAGAACTGAGCACTCAGCAAACATTCACTGATGTTGGTGATGATCTCTGAAATGATTCCATCAGGACGCCACGCCCCGCCATCAGCAGGGCGCACGCTCCGACACGGGAGCAGTGGTCGGCCTCCCGGGCCTCACTCCCACCCTCCGCTTTCCGCCTGGAAAGCCGTCCACTCACACCCCACCCACCCGCCAGAGGAAAATTCCTGCGGCTGATCTCGTGGGTCAGAGGCAATGACCTGGGGAGGGGAGCAGGAAGGCTGGCAGCCACCATGGGCCGGGAACCAATTCCTGGGCTGAGTCTTCTGGACCCCCAGGCTCCACAAATACGCACACTGGAGGCTATTTTGACTTAATCTGGGGTGACCCCAGAGAAGGAAGCTAACTGTCCCTTGCACTGTTCGGCACAGGAGCAGCCGTAGGCCTGAGGTCTCGGGGACTGAAGAGCTGTGACTTCCAGTAGATTTTCCCTCTGGAGCAGCTGGGTTGTTAACACAGCTGGCCCCTCTCTGTCTACTTTCCAAACTGGTGCCGTGGTCATCATCTCATTGGCCACTTCTCACAACTAGCTCTGTGTTTTCCAGGTACAAAAACTGAGACCCACCGGGGGCAACCAGTTGCTCTAGAGAGCAGAGATAATAGGGGCCACTGGGTGGTTCAGTCCGTTTAAGCATCTGACTTCGGCTCGGGCCACGATCTCACGGTTTGTGGGTTGGAGCCCCGCGTCGGGCTCGGCGCTGACAGCTCAGAGCCTGGAGCCTGCTTCGGATTCTGTGTCTCCCTCGCTCTCTGCCCCTCCCCCGCTTGCAGTCTCTCTCTCTAAAACATTAAAAATAATAATGAATAATAAGATAAAAAAGAGAGCAGAGATAACAGCCAAGTCAGAACCAGAACCCGGTCTCTTGACTCAAGCATGGCTTCCCCACAATGGTGGGGCCTGAACGGACCCATGAGTCATTGGCATGGCCGGGCCCTTCATCCTGTCCTGGCACGGTGATACCTGCCCCCTATCTTGGCTCTCCTGTTGGGAGAGACCACCACTTCTGACTATGGGCACCAAATGGAGGAGCAGGACCAGTGTAGGACACTGGAGAGGACATAGAGAAAGCAGGATGGAGCCCCCGGGGGGGGGGCGGGGGGGGCTGCGGAAAGGATGCCATCCCGTAGTGCACCGTGGAAACAGCGCAACAAACTTGGCCTCAGTAGTCCTCCCTCTGGCCCAGAGATCAGAAGAAGGTAGAGGGAAGGGTCTGGGGTCAGCTCTGGGGTAGCACCAGCTGTACCCCTGGACCCTGCCGGGCCCCAGACGAAGGGACTCTCTCACATCCTGTTGTGGCCAGTTCTCCATTTGCCCATTGCACTGACAGGAGAGTGACATCCAAGGGCGGAGAAGTCTGGAAGCTAGTCAGTTCAATCCGCACCCAGGGGAGAGGGCGGTCCCGGAATTGAAGTCTGGACGGCAGGAGGAGAGGGAACTGGGCAGGCCCTACCCTGGCCGGTCTCCTTGGTAAGGGGGATCGGTCTGCTTGCTCCACAGGGCAGGGAGCTGGGGCACAAGCAGTGACCAGAGACAAGAAGGTGTGTCCCTAAATCTTGGGCAAACCCTGCTCCCACTCCTCCCCCAGGCCCTGAGTGGCTTATCGCAGACGCTGGATCTCCTTCAGATTAACCATTCAGGGGTCTGAGCTAGAAACGGAGTCTTGGAGGCTGGGAGGCCAGTGAGAGGAAGAGGAAGGGGCAGCCTCAGGACAAGGAAGCTCCTGCAATACTGAACCAGGCAGGGGCTTGTGCAGACCCCGGGCTCCAGGCAGGTGCTCAGATGTGGTAGCTCTGCCAGGGCCCCACCCCTGTGGTAGGGAAGAAGCACCTCAAAGAGTCCATTCCTGGGGAGCAGCTCTCTGGGAAGTATGATTAGTCACACATGACAACTGTTTTTCACGTTTGCTATTTCTGGGCTTTTAGTAAAGTCCTGTTTAAAGGCTCCAGCCTTGATCTAACCATGCTGCGGATGCCAAGGGGGATCCAGGGTCCACCTCTGGGCCAGGGTGTTAAGAGGAGAGCAATACTCCCCTGGGACTTGCCTGGTGGCAGAAGGGACATCGGTGAGGGGTCCTAGACCTGGTGTAGCCCCACCCCCACGAAATTCTCTCCCCCGCCCCTGCCAACTTGGGAGGGTCAGGGTGTTCCCATTAGGGCAGGTTTCCTTCCAGATCCCCTTTGTGCATCCAGGACTCCAGCTGTCCTGTCACTTTCCTTTGCCAGCATGTCCGTCCCTGGCAACTTTAGGTTCTGGGCCAGGGCTTCTCAGAGGGGAGAAAGAAACGGTCACAGACGTGTCATAAAAACCCTACCCACCCCCAAATTTCCCAGAATGAAGCCCCTCCCTCTGTAAGCCCTCCCCTGCTGCCACCTAGAACCATGCCAGAAGAGATTCCCTAAGAATGCGACATCATTCACCAAGCCAGAATTTAAAAATAATTATATTAATAATAAATATGTTAAATTACATTTAAAACAATAAATAGAAAAATAAACTGATAAATAAAATCAACAGGTACAAAATGTTTCCAAATTTCAACTAAAGAAAACACACAGACGACAGACAAGACAAATGGACATAACGGGAGGGCACTAAATGCATCACAGGAACCCTTCACAGTTTACGTCACAGCTCCCTCCTCGCCTGGTCACCCTTCTTCTCCCCAACTTGGAGACCAGGAGACTCAGTGGCTGATATCTTTGGGGACCCCAGCCAGCGCAGGGAAGCATCTGGTTCCACCTCAATGCCCTTCTGCAAAGCAACCTTGAACCCCAGGGTGTGGGTTCAGGGGACAGGAGCGTGAGGCGGAGCGTGAGGAAGGAAGTCCCTACAGAGGCAAGTCGGTGCTGTTGTGCCGGGTTTTCCTGGCAGTGCCATCGTCTCGGGGCAGCGCCCTCTGCAGGTTGGACATGGCCACGGTCTTTTTGAGGTCAATCACGGCGTAGGAGTCTGAGCTGCGGGCAGGGTGGGTGGTGGGCACAGGGGCTCGGGGGACCGAGGGGTTCTGGGGCCCCTTGGGGCGGTCTCCACCCCAGCCTTTCAGCTCCACCTGGATGTAGTTGAGCTGCCTGGGGGGCTCGGGGCCCGGCCGGCGGAAATCGAAGTTGAAGACCCTCGGGGAGCCTCGGCGGCGGGTCAGCGGCACAGGGAAGCTGCCATGGCTACGGAGGGCAGCCCGGGTGCTGGTGGGCTTCTGCAGCGGGGTCTCATCCTCCTCGCCATCAGGAAAGCCATTGGAGGAGGGAGTGAGCCCATCCCTCGAGTCTCCGTCATCCCCAGCCTCCTCCCCCAGCTGCTGGGCGTGGCTCTCCCACACAGGGGGCAGGGAGGGCAGGTTCTCATAGTGCAGCAGGGCCGCCCGGCGGTGGGCAAGGCCATTCCAGCCTGGCTCCTCCGTGCTCAGTCTCCAGCCAGCCCCTGGCCGCAGCCCCGCACTGACGTTCTCATAGGTGCACTTGGGCTGGGCAGTGCACTCGGAAGGGCCCTCGTTGTTGTTGTTGTGGGGCGGGGGGTCATGCAGGCTGGGGCAGAGGCCCTGGCACTTCATCATGTGCCGCCGAGCAGGGGTTGGGCCCAACACAAACTTCACCTGGCCCGGCTGCAGGAACACCTGGGGGTCCCGTGGGTCAGGGCCCCGGGCCTGCGGGGGGAAGGGCACCTGGCCCTCAGGCAGGGGCTGCAGGCAATGCCGGTTCCTGCGGTGGTCATCCTCACCGGCTGGCGTGTTGACATAGGTGTGGGACTGGGGCAAAGAGTCCAAGGGAAGCAGGTAGGCCCGAGGGCAGGGAAGGAGGAGAGAACAGAAGGGAACGGATAAGAGAGGCATAGGGGAAAAGTGCTGGAGTTTCCCCCTCTTCCTTGTCCTCCACACCTCCCAGGGAAGCTGCATCCCTTTCTGGGACAGTAAGGGACCCTATCAACGTTCCTCCCCTCCCGTGATCCTTACGAGGCGCCCTGTTTCCCGGTCCCCCATCCCCACCCAGACCGACGGGGAGGAGCAGGGCAGCTGCTTGCTCACCTGCTCATCAGGGGCAATGAGGGCATGAGTGGACTCTTCCCCAAGCGAGGGGTGTCGCAGGCTGCTCGTTGAGGGGCGCCGGGGTGCTGAGGATCTCGGGCCCTCCCCTGGGCAGCCAAGGAAGCCATTGGAGAAGCTGGAGACAGTGTAGCCTAGAGCTGGGCACACAGGAGACAAGCCCAGGTCAGCAATGGTGGGGGGGGGAGGTACTTCAACCACCTGCCAACCACCTGCCACTGCATGTGTGGTGTCCTGGGAGTCCTCCAACGGGAGGGGACACGCTCCCAGGGCCCCAGATGGTTAGCTCTACTGAACCAGCAGCCCCTGTTATCTTTCACCTCTCGGTGGTTCAAACCCTGCCCCTTCCCTCAAAGCTCAGTGTGAGCCCCATTTCCCCCATTACAGCCTTATCTGAAACACTTAAGGCCACCTTGTCGTCACTGTCCCTTCATCTCATTCTAGCTCTGCCAGTGAGCTTCAGGGAAGTGCCCAGACATCAGGGGCCGCGTTTCTATTTCTTCTGCGCACTGCCCCCCCCCTCCCCGCACCGTCCCCCGCTCCCTACCATGGGCCAGTTCATGGAGAGCAAAATATGCAGCAGGGGCTCAGTGTGGACTCAGTGAATAAATAAGTAGAAGCTGAGGGAACCTCTCCAGAAATCAGTCATGGGCAAAGATGCCTGAATCAAGCCGGGTATGACCCAGTAGACTGAAGGAAGCAAAATAGCTCCAGACTGCTGTTTCCATGGAAACCCAACGTCTCCCTGTCTGCTTCCCAGACCATTAGTCAATACAAGGCCCAGGACTCCCCAGCGTCAGCATGAGTCACCTGACTGGCCCAGACGGGGACTTGTTCATCCCCAAGAGTCATCTGATGGTGGGCAACTGTCCTGGAAGCATGGATCGCCCAGCCATCCCACCTGCCTGCCTGACTCGTGCCTCCAAGACCGGCCCTGCCTGGGCCTGTGCTTGTGTGTACAGATGTGGAGGCTGAGGTGCCAAGGACGGGGTCTCCTCACCATTGGGAGGCTGGGGGGCCCGAGGGAGGTCGAGCTCAGTCGGGTGACTGTTGCGGGTGATGATGACTGGCTCTTCCATCACATTGATGCTATTGCACTGCATCAGATCCTGAAGCAGGTTGAAGATCTCCTCAGCCCGGGAGCACTTGAACGCGAATATCCCTGAAGAAGGAGAGGAAGAAGTGAGGCCCCTCTGACCATGTACCAGTAGGAAAGGACCAGAGAGGTTGAACGGACGCACAAAGCTCAGGAAAATGTCCCTGAATGCCAGTCCCAGGCCTGCAGGGGACGGGAAGTGCCCTCCTCATCCTGAGCACACTCTAAAATCCAAGAGTTCCGGGAGGAGTTGGGCCCCAGGCCCCTTCCTGTCCCCCCCCACTATCCATTACCACTGTCTAGAGATCTAATACCTCACCTATACTCCCCCACGGTTAAATCGTGTTCACAAGGATGTGTGTGAACACAGGTGAGGGGAAGAGAAGTAAACACCAAAGCAGAAAATGATGGCAGCTGCCCCTTATCCACGGCTTTGCTTTCTGCAGTTTCCGTCATCCGCAGTCAACCAGGGTCCAGAGGCACATGAGGCTCCTTCTGACAGACTGTCAGAATGTCAGTAGCAGCCTCACGCTAGGTCACAGTGCCTGCATCACTCCCCTCACCTCCTCCCACCTCGCGGGCATGTTATCATCTCGCCTCGTCACAAGGGTGAGGGCGCTACCGTAAGGCATGTTGAGAGAGACCACGCTCACCTAGCTCTTCCTACGGTACGTTGTTATAACTGCTTTGCCTTATTACTAGTAACGGTTGTTCATCTCTTACTGCGCCTCATTTATACATGAGACCTTATCACGGGCACATATGTATAAGGGAATGCATGGTGAATACAGGGTTCAGTACTATCTGTGATTTCAAGCACACACTGGGGCTGTGCCCTGAAGATAAGGGGTAAGAGGCTGGACTGTGTTAGATGACACTTCACATGCTGCCCCTGTCTCCCTCTGCCTATCACTCCCCAGAAAAAGGAGCTCTACCCAGGGCACCAAGCCTCGGCTCCAGTCCAACCACCTCCAAGCTCCACGAGGGCAGGAGAGCTGTCCTGTTCGTTGCCTGTTCCCCGGGTACTTAGCCACTGCCTAGCCAGAGAGGGAATGTCTACTCTGGATGGGCCCTTGGCCTCCTGGAACTTAATCTCTGGTGCTGGAAGGAAGGACGAGCAGACTTGCTCTAGGACACACATGGCAAGGCCATCTTGTGTCTCCTCAGTGCAGCTGTCCTGACGGCCCCTCAGATTCCAATGCATCAGCTCACAGTCCCAGGGACGGCAGGCCTGGGCTGAGTACCCGTGACTCAAGGGCTCCAAAGATGTCCCTGGGGTGCTGGGCCAGCCTGGAATTCTACCCCAACCTGGCAACAGCAGGGTCCAGGGCTCAGGGGAGGCTACTTGGGGTGTGTGTGAGCACCACAACCAGGCTGGGGTATGAGACAACTGAGGTTTGCAGGGATGGGACGGACAGCAAGGGGAGGGGGGTGGGGAAGGAAAAGTACCTTTCTGGCAAGACATGTTAGGGGCTACAAAAGGCTGGGAAAGCCTGGAGTTTTAGGAGAACCCGGTGTGGGGGCCTAGGGCGACCCCTCTGGGATCCCAACTGCTGCTTAAATACCACGAGGAGGAGAAGCCCCTTCCTGTCCTCTCTCTGCTCAGCCAGTGTTTAACATCCCCTACCTCAGACGACCAAAGGGTAAGATGTGGGGAGGAGAAGGCTCGCAGCCAGCAGGACATCAGAGGCTCACTGCTGTGATGGTGGCCTCATCAGACAAGCTCGTTCGTCGCAACCCTGCTGTCACAACCCCAACTGCATCCAACACAAGCCCGTACTAGGTTCTCTCTGCAGAACTCAGGCCCGGGTCCTACAAGATAAGCTGAGGCCATGCTACTCCTTCAAAGAGCCAGGGCGGGCTCTAGCCTTGACTTCATGGAATGATCACTACTCTCTGACCCCTGGCTGCAGGGAGAAAGGGCAGGAAGGGAGAACATATCATACTCCGCTGCCCACAGGTGACAGGAGACAAGGGTGAACTTCTCCAGGGTTACTCTGTATATCAGAGACACAAGAGTCTGGCCTCCCCAAGCCTAGCATTCGCAAGCCATGCAGGCCCAAGGTAATCAGAGCCTCTAGCCTGACCCTGACCCTTCACTGTTCATGGCTCCAGGGTATAGGACTTGGGGGCCCACAAGAAAGTCTGTTCCTGTGTAGTGGACAAGGGTCCCTCGAAACTGGTCACAGAGGGAAAAGAACTTGCTTGCTCTCCCAGGCAGGCTCTGGCCTCGGGAGCACTGGCTCTTTCCCATGGGCTGTGCAACAAATGTCCCCACAGAAGGTCCCAGGCTGGGGCCGCAGTGACCAAAGAGAAGGAGCACCGGCCTGGGAGTCCACTTAGTTCCATATCAACATGCTGTGTGCTCTTGGCCATCAACCTTCCCTTCTCTGGGCAACACCTGCCAAGCCAACAGGCTTCCCCATGGTCCCCTGAGCTATGACCTCCGGCCCCACCCCCTCGCCCCTATCCCAGGGGCGGTACTCACCCTGGCCCGTCTGACACCGGCGGCCACTCTCAAAGGAGAAGAGGTTGGAGTCATAGCCATAGCGCCGCAGGCAGAGGTAGGGCCAGCGGACAGCCTCGCGCCGATGCAGGTGCAGCACCAGCTCGCTCTGTGTTAGCTCCATGATTCCGGAGCCCAGCTCCACCCCCTCGTCATCCACATTCGTCACCTGAGGGGCAGGGAACAGAAGGGTCATTGAGTGAGCCCATCAAGTATGTAGGGGTCCCAGAGCCATTGAGAGGCAGGCCAATGCAGGGCTAGGGCTGGGGGGTCAGGGGGCTCGCCTGCCTCTACCAGACTCCCCGGAGATGCCAAATGATCGCTGGGAGACTAAGCGGATGAAGCAGTGCCAAGGACCCACAGCAGCTCTCTAGGCCTCTGCTTTGTCATCTGGGCAGTGAGGCAGGGATGGTTAGCTGACCTCCAAGGTCAGATGGTTTGACAGCCAAGGTTACATAACCTCAGATGGTCCACCGCTTGTATCCAAGGACCAGATGCTAATGGAGGAAGGGGTTCGATTATAAGTTCAAAATCTTAAGACCCCCGGGGGAGAGTCAAGCCCAGGACAGAACACAGACCTCCACCCCCTCCCCAACTCCAGGCCCTTGCTAAGGGCTCCCTCTTCTGGTGAGCAGGAGAAACCTGTGCCTCACAAGCTGAGTGTGGGGAGGGGGCTCCCCCTACAGGGAGGTGAGAGGTGGCAGGTGGCCAGGGGTGCACAGGTCCACTGGGCCCGGCCTTACCTTCCCAAAGTGAACAGCAAACACTAATATTGGGCTTCCGGGTGTTATGCACTGCTTTAAATACTTTATGTATAATAACCCATTAATGGAGACTTTTGTTGTTTTCTCCAAAAAAACCACCATACGTGTATGTGTGTGTACACATTTATATACACGCACATACACACATATACATACATACATATATGCATATATACACACATACATGCATATACATGTAAAGCTACAAAGATAAATTGGCAGGAATGAATGTTCTAAAAGCACGATTTTTCATCACAGTATTTCTTCATTCTTTGTAGTTAGTAACGGTGTAGGAGAACCACAGCACTGGCAGCAGCCTGGGCCCCGCTCCCCAGGCCACTTCAGCAGCTCTGAGGCATCTTAGTGAGCCACAACCTCAGCCTGTCCCTTCACCTTCTCTAGGGAGGCAGAGGCAACTCAACAGGTTGGCCCGAGCCCAGGAGGCCATGCTGGGAGAGCTCAGGAGAGGAGGGGGCAGTGGGTACCTTGAACTTGGTAGGGTGGTTGTCTGGGACGCTGTCTCTGTTCAGGCAGCTGCAGCAGCTCCCCATGGTGTCAGAGCAGCCAGTCCGCCCTAGGGAAAAACATAAGGGATAAGGTCACCGAGGTCAGCTCCAAAAAGCCTCACTCTGGGGACTCTGGCAGAACGACCTCGTTGTGATCACCTACTCTTGGGCACAGTGGGACACTGTCCCTCCTTGAAGAAATTCACATTCTCGGGGCGCCTGGGTAGCTCAGTTGGTTGGGCGTCCGACTTCAGCTCAGGTCATGATCTCACAGTTTGTGAGTTCGGGCCCCACGTCGGGCTCTGTGCAGCCAGCTCAAGAGCCTGCAGCCTGCTTCAGATTCTGTGTCTCTCTTTCTCTGTCCCTCCCCCACTCACACTCTGTCTCTCTGTCTCTCTCTTTCTCTCTCAAAAATAAATAAGCATTGGAAAAAAAATATTTTTTTAAGAAATTCACACTCTCAATCCAGGGCCAGGCATGCACTGGATAAACATTAATTCAAGTGAGGATGTGTTAAAGATTAATTCTGACAGAGGGATGGAAGAGAGCTTCTCAGAGGTACCATCTGACCGTGACCTTGAGAAGTGAGTAGGATTTTGACAGATGTAATGAAAGCGAAGGGAAGCCTGGGCTGCAGGAAAAGAAGGGAATGGATACAAGCAGGGAACCAGAAGAAGTGATTTGTTTCAGGGGGAGGTGGGTGCTAGTTTGGGGCCCTCATTCAGATTTAGCAAACAAACTGTAACTGGGCAGTCCCCGACACTTTAGCCTGGACCTTTCATTTTTTTTTTTTTTTTT